ACCTCCAAGGTCCCTTCCAACTTTACTACTACTACTACTATCGTGGGCGCCCACGATTTCTGAGGGTAGGCTGTTCCACTGGTTGATTGTCCTCACTGTTCAAGTCCCTCAAATAAGTAGCTCTGTTCTGTTAGCCCTCCTGCCCTACCCTCCATTAAATATTCATTCATTCATTCATTCATTCATCTATCTATCTATTTATCTATTTGTTTGTTTGTTTATTATTATCTTGACCTTAGTACTTTATAAGTAACTCAAGGCAGCGAATATATCTAATAATGTGTACATATCTGATAATTCCTCCTCCTTCCCCACAACAACAATCCTGCTGGTTGGGCTGAGAGAGAGAATTACTGGCCCAAGGTCACCCAGCTGGCTTTCATGTCTAAGGTGGGGACTAGAACTCTCTCCGTCTCCTGGTGATTGGCCCAAAGTCACCCAAATGGCTTTCACGGCTAAGGTGGGATTAGAACTCAGCATTTCCTGGTGATTGGCCCCAAGTCACTTATTCAGTTTTCATGCCTAAAGCAGGACTAGAATTCGCTGCCTCCTGGTGAGTGGCCCAAAGTCACCTAGCTGGCTTTTGTGCCTAAGACGGGACTAGAACTCACACTCTCCCAGTTTCTGGACCAGCACGTTAACCACGACACCAAAGGGCTATTAAACAAAATAAGCTCATGCTCAGGGCACTGAAGAAAGTGGGGGCACACCAGAGTTCCCCCCCCCCTTCCCAAGCTAGCACGCCCTGAATTCTTCCACTGCCACTCCTGACTTCAGGTTTCAATATTTCTTTTGTGTTTGCATTTTTCCCTTATAACAATTTTATTTAAAAAAGGCATTAAAAAGTGATGAAAATCTGCATTTCCCCCCCCCCCCCCGTTGCCCTGGTTATAAGTAAATAGTTTGCTTAAATGGCTTACTGAGATTTGATGTTAAAAACATAAATTTTTAAAAAGTTTACATTTAATATAGCTGCAGGGGCTCGATGGCTTGGAATAACACTGGATTTTTAATCACTTATTTCCTCTTCAGCACTTGGGGTCAGTGAAGCAATGGAAGAGCTGAGGGGTACCCTGGCTGGGGTGTCCTTAGGGCAGGGGTAGGCCACCTTGGCTCTTTTATGACTTGTGGACTTCAACTCCCAGAATTCCTGAGCCAGCCATGCTGGCTCAGGAATTCTGGGAGTTGAAGTCCACAAGTCATAAAAGAGCCAAGGTGGCCTACCCCTGGCTTAGGGCATCAGGGGGCCTTAATCGGGCCCTGCCCCTTACGTGGCTGAAATACAGACCCCCCCAGTTTCATAAATACTGCTTTTTTTTAAGCATTTCCCTTATTTTAATCTGACCATTTTGCTAACATACAAATCCTTGAGCGCTTTCAACGTGAAAAGCTGTGAGGTTCAGTAGCACCTGTTGCTTGGTCTCACCGGCTCAGTGCTTCTCAACCTTTTGCAACTTGAAGACGTGTGGACTTCAACTCCCAGAATTCCCCAGCAAGCACGGAATGGGAAACCCTGTTTTAGAACGTCTTGCTTGGGTAGCCCCGAGTCTGGAGACATGGTCCAAACTGGGGGGAAGATTGCCATCCACGTTGCTTCTCTGTGTTCTGTCCTTCCTCCACCCAAGGAGTCGGATGAAAAGATTGGAAGGAAATCTTCCTGGTCTTCAAAAGTAGGACGATGAGCCATCCGAAGTGGTAAGGGGAGATAGGTGCCACCTTGCTGTATTCAGGCTAATTTCTGGACTAGGTAGAATCTGTTTCCTAAGACCGAATGATCTTGCCCACAACACTTGGGATTTAAAAAGCTGAGTTTCTAAACCCTTCTCATCTATGCTGTTTAAGCTACAAGCATTTGAGTAAAAAGGAAAGGGAAGCCTTTGATTGGAACTGCTCCAGCATCTGCATCATGGATAATTTCTGTGACACGGTTTACTCTGTTTCTATTTGCTCTTTATTATCAACCCTGACTGTTCTTTAGAAGGCCAGATCCTGAAGTTGAAACTCAAGTACTTTGGCCACCTAATGAGAAGGAAGGACTCGCTGGAGAAGAGCCTGATGCTGGGAAAGATGGAGGGCAAGAGAAGAAGGGGACGACAGAGAAGGAGGTGGCTAGATGGAGTCACTGAAGCAGGAGGCGTGAGCTTCAATGGACTCCAGAAGATGGTAGAGGACAGGAAGGCCTGGAGGAACGTTGTCCATGGGGTCGCGATGGGTCGGACACGACTTCGCAACTAACAACAACAAATTTGCAATCAAATCCTTTTTATTCTTCCAAAAGTCTAACTTTCCTTTTTGGCAAGGAGGTTATTTCTTTGCTACTGTTGAAGGGGTTTCTTATTTTGTTCTGGATTGTTGTAAATATTGCTGACCCCAAATGCATTATTCAATAAGTAGTGCTGCTGTAAGTTTCAATACAGGTAATCCTCGACTTACAACAGTTCATTTAGTGACTGTTCAAAGTTATAACGGCACCGAAAAAACTGACTTATGAGTGTTTTTCACACCCACGAATGTCGCAGCATCTCCAAAATTAAGATGCTTGGCAACTGACTCACATTTATGATGGTTGCAGTGTGTCCCAGGGTCACGTGATCCCCTTTTGCAACCTTCTGACAAGTAAAGTCAAGGGGGAAGCTGGATTCACTTAAGAACCGTGTTGCTCATCTAACAATTGCAGTGATTCACTTAACAACCTATGGCAAGAAAGGTTGTAAAACGGGGCAAAACTCACTTAACAAATGTATCACTTAGCAACATCACTTTTGGGCTCAATTGTGGCCATAAGTCGAGGACTACCTGTACAGTGACAACCACCCCCATCATATTCCTGGTAACTGGAAATACGACTATAAACTTTGAATTTGAATTTGAATATATAAAGTTGGAAGGGACCTTGGAGGTCATCTAGTCCAACCCCCTGCTCAGGCAGGAAACCCTATACCGTTTCGGACAAATGGCTGTCCAGTCTCTTCTTAAAAACCTCCAGTGTTGGACCATTCACTGCTTCTGGAGGCAGGTTGTTCCACTGGTTAATTGTTCTCACTGTCAGGAAGTTTCTCCTTAGTTCCAGGTTGCTTCTCTCCTTGATGAGTTTCCATCCGTTGCTTCTCGTCCTTCCTTCAGGCGCTTTGGAGAATAGCTTGACTCCCTCTTCTTTGGGGCAGCCCCTGAGATACTGGAACACGGCTATCATGTCCTCCCTCATCCTTCTCTTCATTAAACTAGACATCCCCATTTCCAGCAACCGTTCCTTATATGTTTTAGCCTCCAGTGCCCTAATCATCTTTGTTGCTCTTCTCTGTACTCTTTCTAGAGTCTCAACATCTTTTTTACATCGTGGTGACCAAAACTGGATGCCGTTTTCCAAGTGTGGCCTTACCAAGGCATTGTAAAGTGGTATTAATACTTCACGTGATCTTGATTCTATGCCTCTGTTAATGCAGCCTAGCACTGTGTTGGCCTTTTTGGCAGCTGCAACTTTTTCATCCCTGGATAGTAATCTGATATTTTGTTGTGTTTTTGGTTCTCTTTTTCTGATGAAGCGTTACCAGGAATTTCTGAAGGATCTGAAGAAGAACTGGGGGCTCTGCAGTCCTTCTGTGCCAGCAGGATTAGCCACCTTCGTCGTCAGAGGATCTCAGAGCCACTGAGAAGAAGCAGCCCTAAGAAACAGAGGCCTAGGATGGTTTCAGAGAGGCAGCTGACGGGAGGTGGCGACTGTGCGGTCCCTTCTGAGCTGGTCAACAGGCTTCATCTGAAAAGTTTCAAGGAGATGATGAAACAGGTGCTGAAACCAGGACCTTTTTTCGAACGATTGAAGGGGGGAAAAGCCAAGTTTTCCTCGTTGTTATTCACGGACTTACAGGTAGTCCTTGACTTATAACCAATTGTTTAATGACCGAAGTTAAAAAAGGTGACCCATGATCGTTTTTCACACTTACGACCGTTGCAGCATCCCTACGGTCACATGATCAAAACTCAGACACTTGGCAACTGGCATGTATTTATGCGGTGTCCCGGGGTCACATGATCCCCTTTTGCGATCTTCCGACGAGCAGAGTCAACAAGGAAGCCAAGTTCATTGAACAACCGTCATAAAAGGGGGCAAAACCCACTGAACAACAGTCTCGGTTAGCAACAGAAATTTTGGGCTCGATTGTGGCCGTACGTCAAGGACTACCTGTATAAAGGTTTGGCTGGCCCTAGTGGAGTCCAGTCTCTCTATAATAATTCTGACAGGAGAATGTCCTCTTCTGAAATTTAGCATGGGAGTCATATTAATCTTATAATATAAAGAAAAAAATTAATGTTTTCTCCCTGCAAAATTCTGTGCTATTTTGCAACAGAAGATTAGCCTGAGATTTCTTCAGATGCTGATTTTTCAAAATGGAATGTTTGTTGTCCATGCATGTTTCATGTGATAAGAAGTAGGCTCTTCTGTCAGTCAAGTTATTTTTGTTAGCGGTGACATGATTTTGCAAAGTACAGTTAGGTTCTCACACGCAGTTAAGAATCTCTTAAGTGTTTCTGTTGTTAGTTTTAACTGAAACCATCGTTATTATAATGAGGATTTGTTCTACATTTTCGCTTGCAGAAGGAAGACATTTTAGTAATGAGGAAGCTGAGGTTGAGAAAGGGCAGTTGGTCTTGAAAAGAAAGTAAAAAATAGTCTGATCATAATTTTCTAAGTCCTGCTCTTTAGATAATTAACCCTGAGAAGAAATGCTTACGCTTAGTTCAGGGGTAGTCAACCTTGGCTCTTTTATGACTCGTGGACTTCAACTCCCAGAATTCCTGAGCCAGCTTAGCTGGCTCAGGAATTCTGGGAGTTGAAGTCCACGAGTCATAAAAGAGCCAAGGTTGACTACCCCTGGCTTAGTTATAGATGATGGAATGTCCTTAGAAGGTGGCTTATCTTTCTTTCCATTAGCTGCTTGTTCACAGCGATGGGATAGAATCAATGAGATGAGTAGTATGCACTCTCCCCTTCTCTCAATCTAAAATAATTTAAGCACTGTAGCTATAGTGTGATACTCTTCCGATGTAATGTGGTACATGTTTGTTCAGAAGTAAACTTTATTACATTTAATGAAGCTTGCTCCTGGTCAGTGCATCTGAGGTGGCAACCTTAATCAAGCTGGCTGCTGGAGTTCTTTACCTGATTTTCTCTTTTGAAGAAGCTGAGTTTTAAAATACCTTTTGACAGAAGGAAGGAGTTGCAGTATGATGATTCCAAAAGATACGGCGAAGTAAATTGATGGCATTGCTGCTAGAGAAGCTATTGCAAGGGAGAAATAAAGGCAATCTCCTGGGGGAAAAAATAAGAATTAGTTTTGTTTTTTTTTATTTAGCTCATTTTGGAAAAAAAGCTTATCAGGGTTATAAAAGGCTGCCTTGGTCCCCTGCACGCTTTCTTCTGAGATGTTAGCCATGTTCTTGTTTTTAAGGAAGACAGTGTGGTGGAATGTAGTCTGGAGTCCCAGGAGGGAGGGGCTGCCCCCCCCAGAGGGCAAAGGGGGGCAGCGGAGCTTGGAATGTCTGGAAGGCAGGAAGAGGGCTAAGACAGCCCTTCCCCAGCAGCTCTCAGAATATATCTATAGTTATGCAGATAGCTGCTTTAGTCCGGCAAGATTCTGTCTGTAGGCAAACGACTGTAAAGGAAAAAAAAAAACTCAGAAGTAACCCGGCATGCCATTTTGGGGTTTTGGGGGCCTGACAAATATTTTTTTTTTAAATTCTGTCTCCCTTTAAGATAGCAGAAACTAAAATGCACCAACCTTCACAATGCCCCTTTTGCATGAAGAAAAGAGCAGAGTTTGCAGAAGTTGAATTTCTCCGTCGAAAGAAAACTATATTAGACAATGTTTTGATTCAAGAGAAACTGGAAGACTATATGTACACCAAAGTAAGCAAAAACCAGAATATGTCTACCAAAATTAGATGTATGGTATTGTATTGTATTATACTGTGCTGCGTTGTGCTATGCTATGCTATGCTATACCACACACTACATGAGCCGTGGTGGCGCAGTGGTCAGAATGCAGTACTGCAGGCTAATTCTGTTCACTGTCGGCTGCCAGCAGTTCAGCAGTTCGATCCTGATGGGGCGGGCTCAAAGTTGATTCAACCTTCCATCCTTCCTAAGTTGGTAAAATGAGGACTCAGATTGTTGGGGGCAAGATGCTGACTTTGTAAATCGCTGTGAAGCATTATAGAAGTCTTAAGTGCTATTGCTATTGGTATGTGCATATCTCCAAATTGCCACTAACATTTTAGAAGGATTCAGAATTAGATTAAATCTACTCTAGAGATGTGCTGTTTTGATTTGGATTAATTTTGAATCTGTGCACGTCTGCTTGGATTTCTTTCTGGATTCTGTTGAATCGAACTTACTTAGCCTGTCGACCTATTTTTTCAACATTTCTATCTAAGAAAAGACAAAATAATTGTCAACAGAATAAAGTAATCTTGGAAAGCTCTCTCAGTAGCCAACCAAGCCTGTGTCCATAATCAGACTGCAGATGTTTCTCTCAAAAAAAACAAACAAACTCCAAAACAGTTCATGAAATTCGTGTATCTGATTTTTTTTAACCTTGGGAATTAAAGTTTGGAATCCAAAGATCCGTAATACAGGTAGTCCTCAACTTAACAACAGTTCATTTAGTGACTGTTTGAAGTTACAACAGCACTGAAATAAGTGACTTATGACCATTTTTCACATTTATGACCGTTACAGCATCCCCAGGGTCATGTGATTTACATTCAGATGCTTGACAACTAACTCACCTTTATGACGGTCCCGGGGTAATGTGATCCCCTTTTGCAACCTTCTGACAAGCAAAGTCAATGGGAAAACCAGATTCACTTAACAACCAGTTTACTCATTGAACAACCGAAGTGATTCACTTAACAAATGTGGCAAGAAAAGTCGTAAAATGGAACAAAACTCACTTAACAAATGTCTCACTTAGCATCTTAAATTTTGGGCTCAATTGGGGTCATAAGTTGAGAACTACCTATATTTGAGTGACATCAGACCGTAGCTATAAGCGCAGAGAAATTTTGCAATGCATTTTTCCTTCTGACTGGTAGTCAGTTTTGTATAATGGGTGAGTCCAGTTGCTTAAGCCAACCTTTCTCAACCTTGGCAACATTAAGATAGGCAAATTCAACTCCCACAATTCCCCAGGCAGTCATTCTGTATGTTCATGTTCTGTGTTCTAATCTCATTCTCAGTGATCATTTAATGAAATAATTGGAGCTAAACTCTTACGCATGCATTCATAAATGGCTGAGAGTTTAATGGACTTTACCACATTAGGGATCACTTCTAGCACAGTTTAATATCATTTTTATGTTGCCTTCATCTTACAATCCGATGTCTTCTAATTTGCGACACCTCTGGTTTTATATAAGTAGAGTAAGCCATGTTAAAGATTGCATTGGCTTTTGGGTCGTGTCTGTAGGCATCCAAAATATTATCTCAGCATTGTCAGTTCCCTGCGGCAACCCCAGACTTCTGCAGGCCTCTAGATTGTTCAGTTTCAGCTCTTGAGTTGAAAACCAACACATCTAAAGATCGAAGAGAGCTGCCTTGTGGAATTGCTATAGAGACACACTTTATTGTTGTGATAGAAGGTTGAAGTTAAGAGCAGATGGCTTCCCCAGCGCCATTTTTTTTTTGTTATAACGTAGGCGGAATACAAGACAGACGTGTCCTAATTCATACCTGTGAAAATGAAAACCATCTCCCTTTTCTTCTGTATCCTAGCAAAGAGAAGGGGGATGTCACTGACTTTTACTCTGCTCACTAATTTGTTAACAAGTTAACAGTTGTTAGCCAGTTTGGTGTAGTGGTTAAGGTACTGGCCCAGAAACCAGGAGACTGAAAGTTCTAGTCCCACTTTAAGCATGAAAAGTGTCTGGTGACCTTGGGCCGGTGATGGCGAACCTTTTAGAGACCGAGTGCCCAAACTGCAACCCAAAACCCACTTATGTTTCGCCGGGTGCCGGGTGGCCGTGGCCCGCTGGGTGGCCGTGGCCAGCCGGTGTGGCTACGGTGGTCATGGCAGATGGGTGGGCATGGCCAGCTCAATGTTGCTCCTGGGGAGGGACACCTGTGGGGGCCGGGCAGGGTTGGGGGAGATCCAGGGTGTCTCTAGTGGATGGGGCGGTGGGCAGGAAGTTCGTCCTGCGGGGTGAGGCGAGGCAAGGTGAGGCAGGGCAGGGGTGCCATTGTCTCAGGGCAAATCGAGGCAGGGGCCGGGGCGGCTGCTGCCTGACACCATCAGCCCCCGCACACAGAGGCCAGCGAGCGCATGGGTACTGCGATGCATCCAGCCACATGGGACCTCAGCGAGTTAGGAGGTGGCTGGTTGAAGAGGATGGTTGCCATCTCCAGGGCATGGCGCGCGTGCCCATAGAGAGGGCTCTGAGTGCCGCCTCTGGCACGCGTGCCATAGGTTCGCCACCACTGCCTTGGGCCAATCATCAGGAGACGAGTTCTAGTCCTGCCTTAGGCATGAAAGCCAGCTGGATGACTTGGACCAATCACTCTCAGCCCAACCCACCTCAGGACTATTTTTGTGGGGAAAATAGGAAGAGGGAGGAATATTATGTATGTTCTCCCCCATGAATTACTTATACAGGTAACAAAGGTGGTACAAAAATCAAAGAAATAAACTAATTTGTTAACAGTGGTCAAATGACAGATAGTCTGAATTGGAGGTCTCTCACCATTCTTTTTTCCTTCTTTCAGGATTCTCTCACACTCATTGGAGAAATACATAAAAGTCTCCCTAAGCTTTCCGAAGATCCCAGCATTATATGGCAGGAACTGAATAAAAGAGGTTGGCAGGAATAGATTTTGCCGGTGGGGATATTGGAGCAAATAAACAAAGCAGGAGACGGAATCTCTATAGGCTGAGCAACGACAGTATTGAGAATAATGACAATTTGGATTCCAGAGTCAATTTTTACCTTCTGTCCCAGGGTGAGAAGAGCTGTATGTGATTGTTGAACTAAATAATGTAATTTTCAAATAACAGAAAATGTTTTTTTTTTCCTTACTGTGGGGACAAGTCATAAATATCAAGGTTTTTGTTTTTTTTTAGTAAGAGTCTTTTTGGGATTTGGACATGAGCTTGCAAAGAAACTGTAGAAGTAGTAAAATGGGTAATATATATTTTATAGTACTGAAAACCATGTCAAATCTGAAGTGAAGTTGGGCCATCACTCTGAGGATTCCAAGGAAGAAGCTGCAATGTTGCTTTAGAAATGGATATTTAAAAACATACTTGTGGATACTGAAGCAGAGAAGAGAATAAAATGCCTAATGCACCCCAGCTGAGATGCCAGAGCACTTCTGAAGGACTTTGGTGAAATAGATTATACGGTGCAGGGTTTACAGTGATGATGGTCTGAAAATTTGAAGTCCCAGATTTGTTCCATTACGAGGAAAGAGATGAAAGCTGAACGTTAAGCCTTAAAATAGGCATATCTTCAGTAAACAAAACCAGGCAGACCTCTAAAAGTTCTCTGATGAAACCCACCCACCTATGTGACACATGGCCCCATTCCTTCTACAGCCCTCATCCTTCCATCCAAATGAGGCTAAGGGTGGTCCTTTGGCCCCACAAAAGTGCTCATCCTTTGGGTGACGGCAGTCTCCGCTGGGCTCGTTTCTTGCCCTGCTTGGAACTTTTGGGATTTGGTCTTTAGCAAGTTCTGGTCTTCAGAGTCCCAATTTAAATTATGAATCTCAGAAGGCTCAAAGCTCTAATCAGGGCTCCACCCCCTGTTATGGCATAGGAGAGAAGGGCCATTGGGCCTTCTGGAAGGATCAAGTCTCAACCCAGGCCATCTCCGTCGATAAAGGACTGGGGGGGGGGGGGCAGGTGATGAAGTGATGAGACCCAGGAAGCTGAGGATGACCAGAGAAGACCTCGTTATTTAAGGGTTACCCTGGTTCATGGAATTTATGCCAGGGCACTTTCAATGCAATGCAATTCAATGCAAATTTATTATATGTATTAGAATAGAATAGGGTAGGGTAGGGTAAGGTAGGGTAGGGTAGGGTAGGGTAGGGTAGGGTAGGGTAGGGTAGGGTAGGGTAGAGTAGAGTAGAGTAGAGTAGAGTAGAGTAGAGTAGAGTAGAGCAGAGCTGGAAGGGACCTTGGAGGTCTTCTAGTCCAGCCCCCTGCTCAAGCAGGAGAACCTATACCATCTGAGACAAGTGACTGTCTAGTCTCTTCTTAAAAATCTCCAATGATGAAGCACCCACGATTTCTGAAGGCAAGCTGTTCCACTGGTTAATTGTCCTCACTGTCAGGAAGTTTCTCCTTAACTCCAGGTTGCTTTTCTCTTTGATCAGTTTCCAACCATTGTTTCTGGTCCTGCCCTCTGGTGCTTTGGTGAATAACATGACCCCCTCTTCTTTGTGGCCGCTCCTCAGATACTGGAACACTGCTATCATGTCTCCCCTATTTCTTCTTTTCTTTATAGTAGCCAGACACAAGTCCCGCAGCCGTTCTTCGTATGTTTTGGTCTCCAGGCTTTTGATTATCTTAGTTGCTCTTTTCTGAATTTTTTTCCAAACTCTCAACATCTTTTTTGTGATATGGTGACCAAAATTGGCTGCAGTATTCCAAGTGTGGTCTTACTAGGGTTTTATAATGCGGTACTAATAACTTTGCATGATCTTGATTCTATGCCTCTGTTTATACAACCCAGGATTGTATTAGCTTTTTTGGCTGCTGCTGCACACTGCTGGCTCATAGTCAAGTGATCGTCCACTAGGACTCCAAAGTCCCTCTCACAGTTCCTGCTTTTGAGCCAGGTCTCGCCCAATCTGTACTTGTACCTTTGATTTTTCCTGCCTAAATGTAAAACTTTGCTTTTCTCCACATTGAAACTCATTTTGTTGGATAGGGTCCATTGTTCAAGTTTGTCAAGATCTTTTTGGATCCTGAGTTTGTCTTTTTGGGGTGTTGGCTACTCCTGTCAGTTTGGTGTCATCTGCAAATCTGATTTCCCTTTTAATTCCCTCATCTAAGTCATTGATGAAGATATTGAAGAGTACTGGGCCTAAGGCAGCGAACATATCCCACACACTTTCCTCCTCCTATTTTCTCCACAACAACAACAACCTGTGAGGTGAGTTGTGCTGAGAAAGAGCAATTGGCCCAAAGGCATCCAAAGGCTTTCATGGTTAAGGAGGGACTTGAACTCACAGTCTCCCATTTTCTAGGCTGGTGCCTTGGCTTAACCAATATTCCAGGAAGAGACCATCTACATGGAGGGAAGTGTGTAGTGGGGTGCCCCAGGGCTCTGTTCTGGGCCCAGTGCTCTTCAACATCTTCATCAACGATCTGGACGAGGGGATAGATGGGGAACTCATCAAATTTGCAGACGACACCAAGCTGGCAGGAATAGCCAACACTCCAGAAGACAGGCTTAAGATACAGAAGGATCTGGACAGACTTGAACACTGGGCACTATCTAACAAAATGAAATTCAATGGTGAAAAAAGCAAGGTTCTACATTTAGGCAAGAAAAACCAAATGCACAG